TAAGAATAATCATAACCAGAATAAAATAAATAGTGAAAAGTGGGTGTCACGTAATGTGCACTTCTGCCTACGCCTTCGATGATGTTATGTATTCACATAACATCATCAGCCTTTTATCCAAATATATAACATAACCATTCATCTTTGTAAATGACAATGACCAAATTTGTATGGAGCGTGGTGCCTTTTCATTTTGTCGCGGCAGTTGATCGGATGTGAAAAAACTGATGCAGAATAACATTACAAACAAAAAATATATGGGGTCTTATATCAAAAACACAGTCCAAACCGAGTTAAATCAGTTCAAAGATGTGAAAATAGTGGTATATTTATTCCTGTGGTTTTGTTGATGGTGACCGTACACAACGCATATTTCTTCATTTACTTGTCAGAAATTTAATTTAAGATTTAAGGAATATATTAAAGCTTATTGTGGACTTTTTTACTTATTTTTTTTTTTGTTTGATTTTTTTTTTTTTTGTTATAAGGCCACGGAATCAGAACAGAGTGACCATTAACTGACCACTGTTGAAGAAAAAAAAAATTCGCTTGTTTGGCTAGCGTGTTCAATTTATATGTATACGGTTTATGGCCTATGACAGATTTTCATTATCAATTTCCTCTCAGTCAAAAACCCGCAAAATACTTTACTGAGCCCTATCATGAAATGCTATGTTTGTCAGCTGCGGCGTCGGTAGCGGATTGAGTAGTGGCAGTCGTCAAAACACGAAAAAAACATTTTTCTGTCTACTTTTCCCGGCTTACTTCCGATTAGTAACTAATCTAACTTCAGTTAATACTTTCATCTACATCTAGCATAAGATTCTGTACAAAGACATCGTCATTCAGTCACAAAGTGATGGATTTCGACTGATCCCATTATATCAAAAAATTATGCGCTCATCTGACGTATAGTCCTTCACTTTACATAATCGACGGTTTCCTTTCTTCAAAAGATTATGCTAACTATAAAGTAGATGAGTGTCCCATTTGGAGTCAACGTCAAATAAAATACTTTATTAGATGTTTGGACGGCTACAACTACTCAACCCACCACTGGTACCGCAGCTGACACTCGTGAACCTTCACAACACAACTCCTAGAAACATCCCACAAGTTATCGACTGAGAGAAAATAGCTAATAAAAATTAGCGGCTAGCAATATGGATTATGGTGTGATTTGGTGTTTCTGTGCCCGGCGAACAGTGGCGCGCAATTTGAAGTTACGAATTGTGACAAAAATAGGAATAATTTGAATAAAAATACGAGAGTTCCATTGTCTCTGCCTACCCCCATGGGAGACAGGCGTGAAGTTATGAATGTATGTATGTAAGTAAAAGGTTTAACTCCAGGTCCTTTCAACGTTCATAGCTCAGTCCAGACTGAGATTTCCATATATGAGCCCATAGACAATTTCGTTTGTAATGACATTCTAGATAATATTTTCCATAAATCATAGACTGCCGCCAGAAAAAAGAAAGGCACCAATTTTAGTCAATGCCCTTTAGTGCATGTTCTAAGTATTTTGTTTCACCTTTGTAATTATAATTTCATTACATTTTTAGTTTTGGCCATTATTTCTGTTTCTTTTGTTACAATTTATAGAAATCATAGGTTTTTCATGTGAATATTTGATAATTCTCTCATGAATGCTATTCTCACCAAGGACCAAATTGTGCATTATATAACGGGACTAAGACTTTGCTATCCATCCGTCTGTCTGTCACCATCCGTATTGTAACAGTATCGAGCGAGTTAAGCGTTCTAATTGGTCGGTTCACTTGACCCGGCCAATCAGGGCACCGAACGCGCTCTATACTATTACGTTACGAATGCATTAGTTATTCGTGCTTGGCACTCAGTATTGTTTTTGACATTTCGATAGAAGTATTGAATTTGCGTAGTTGTGAAGTCCCGTATGTCTCCTTGCGCAGGTTCAACACGTGGTCGGAGCCGGGCCCCATCGACAACAGCGACTTCGTGTGCGTGCACGGCGGCGTGCGGCCCGAGCGCGCGCCGCACCTGCACCGCCTCGCCGCGCTCGTACCGCAGGCGCTCTGGGAGTTCCTCTACATGCAGTACGTACTCAAACATCTTTATTCATCATACAATCACCTGCACCGCCTCGCCGCGCTCGTACCGCAGGCGCTCTGGGAGTTCCTCTACATGCAGTACGTACTCAAACATCTTTATTCATCATACAATCACCTGCACCGCCTCGCCGCGCTCGTACCGCAGGCGCTCTGGGAGTTCCTCTACATGCAGTACGTACTCAAACATCTTTATTCATCATACAATCACCTGCACCGCCTCGCCGCGCTCGTACCGCAGGCGCTCTGGGAGTTCCTCTACATGCAGTACGTACTCAAACATCTTTATTCATCATACAATCACCTGCACCGCCTCGCCGCGCTCGTACCGCAGGCGCTCTGGGAGTTCCTCTACATGCAGTACGTACTCAAACATCTTTATTCATCATACAATCACCTGCACCGCCTCGCCGCGCTCGTACCGCAGGCGCTCTGGGAGTTCCTCTACATGCAGTACGTACTCAAACATCTTTATTCATCATACAATCACCTGCACCGCCTCGCCGCGCTCGTACCGCAGGCGCTCTGGGAGTTCCTCTACATGCAGTACGTACTCAAACATCTTTATTCATCATACAATCACCTGCACCGCCTCGCCGCGCTCGTACCGCAGGCGCTCTGGGAGTTCCTCTACATGCAGTACGTACTCAAACATCTTTATTCATCATACAATCACCTGCACCGCCTCGCCGCGCTCGTACCGCAGGCGCTCTGGGAGTTCCTCTACATGCAGTACGTACTCAAACATCTTTATTCATCATACAATCACCTGCACCGCCTCGCCGCGCTCGTACCGCAGGCGCTCTGGGAGTTCCTCTACATGCAGTACGTACTCAAACATCTTTATTCATCATACAATCACCTGCACCGCCTCGCCGCGCTCGTACCGCAGGCGCTCTGGGAGTTCCTCTACATGCAGTACGTACTCAAACATCTTTATTCATCATACAATCACCTGCACCGCCTCGCCGCGCTCGTACCGCAGGCGCTCTGGGAGTTCCTCTACATGCAGTACGTACTCAAACATCTTTATTCATCATACAATCACCTGCACCGCCTCGCCGCGCTCGTACCGCAGGCGCTCTGGGAGTTCCTCTACATGCAGTACGTACTCAAACATCTTTATTCATCATACAATCACCTGCACCGCCTCGCCGCGCTCGTACCGCAGGCGCTCTGGGAGTTCCTCTACATGCAGTACGTACTCAAACATCTTTATTCATCATACAATCACCTGCACCGCCTCGCCGCGCTCGTACCGCAGGCGCTCTGGGAGTTCCTCTACATGCAGTACGTACTCAAACATCTTTATTCATCATACAATCACCTGCACCGCCTCGCCGCGCTCGTACCGCAGGCGCTCTGGGAGTTCCTCTACATGCAGTACGTACTCAAACATCTTTATTCATCATACAATCACCTGCACCGCCTCGCCGCGCTCGTACCGCAGGCGCTCTGGGAGTTCCTCTACATGCAGTACGTACTCAAACATCTTTATTCATCATACAATCACCTGCACCGCCTCGCCGCGCTCGTACCGCAGGCGCTCTGGGAGTTCCTCTACATGCAGTACGTACTCAAACATCTTTATTCATCATACAATCACCTGCACCGCCTCGCCGCGCTCGTACCGCAGGCGCTCTGGGAGTTCCTCTACATGCAGTACGTACTCTAACATCTTTATTCATGATACCACTCAAACTCAAACATCTTTATTCATCGTAGACTGCATCGTCGCTTGTCACCAGGCGACATAATGGTCAAGTATTAAAAAAAAAGCAAAATAACATCGTGACGTGACGAGATGTGGACAGATCCATAGGAGAAAATCATATTGTGGGAAATACTTTTCCAATAGACGTTTTCTTAATCCATATTCTTTGTAATCATGTTATTTGAATAATTTGTTGATTCGTACCTGCCCGTGCAGTTTCGGCGGCGGCCCCGCGGTGTCGCACGTGCACGAGTGCGGCGTGTGCGCGCGCTGGGCGGCCCGCCTGCGCACGCGCCGCACCAGGGAGCTGCAGGCCTTCTGCGACCTACACGCCAGCTTCCAGGTACATGCAGCTTACTTACCCACTGTGTTACAAACTTGTGGATATTGCCCAACTTACAACACTTCATTTCCAACACCAACCATCAAGTGACACTTAAAGATAAGATAAGTGGTTAGTTTAAATGTGCACTAACGCTAACTTTTAGTTAAGAAATGGTTTAGTGATGATTGGTGAAAACGGTCATAAGTATTAAATTAAATGTACACCACATGAACGGTCTATAAATGCCCACTACTGACCAAAGGCCCCTTCTCACACGAAGGTTTGAGCTTTAATCACCACGCTTACTCAATTCGAGTCGGCTATTTCAAACTTATCAAATTAGAAATTATAAGCCTAGATTTCCTCACGATGTTTTCCTTGACTGTTTGTGTTGGTGATCTTAGAAAGTACATATAACTCGGAAAAAATCATAGGTTTCGAACCCGCACCCTCATGCATGGGAAGCGGAGCGGGCCACAGCTACTTAATAACAAATGTACTAACTGATCTAAAATTTGACAGTAACACACAACTAACCCTTATTAATAAAGTTTTACTTTATATCTCTCACATTGTACTAAATCTATGACATAATACAGGAACAAGAGCGTCCGCACGCAATCTACGGTATCAGCATGCATTGGTTCCGTCAGTGGCAGGCCTTCGTACGGAACAAGACGCAGCAACCACCGCCGCCTGTTGACAACTCCGGGATTGTTAGCAAACAGGTAAATAAACCATTCACTAGGACCCGACTTGACGATGTCAACCCCAATAAGACTCCATGCTTGACAGTTAAATAAGCGACCAGGATAATGATACAATTTTAACTGTATAGGACTGATATCAACTGTTGTCTCTACTGGCTAAAAGTATAGTCAAATTGTTGAACCTTGCTGTTTAAAAGGTGGAAAAACAGATAAACAGACGGCTGTTATGGTTATATTTATCATATAATATTAATTTTTATGTATTCCCGAATGAAATCCAGGTGAGAATTTCTAATTATTTGACATTACACGAACTTATTTCAACAGGGATTTCAAGTGCATCATTCCTAAGTGCGTAAATGTATATAACAATATTTCCAGGAGGTCGATGGTACGACGACTCTCACAATAAAGCCGGGCTCCGACCACGCGCAGCTCAGCGAGGAACTGTGGCGGTTCTTCACCAACATATACGGCGGCGGACCTGAAGTACGGCTCAAGTCACCCATCAACACGGGCCACCAGGTCATACTCGCAGACAAAGACACCAAAGCACTCGAGACCAGGCGGCTGTCCAGGAAATATTCAGAGTCTGACAGGGAGGAATACTGCACCAAATCCACCTCCGAGATGAACATAAGAGACTCCTTACACGGGGAACTGCAGAAGAATCAATCCCTTCAGAACATTAATCGACGATACAAAACCAAAGCCAATGCTGAGTCCGATGAAGACGTGACGTACAGGCGAGCTAGCTTCCAATACAAGCGCACGGAGACCAACGGGAACTACCCGGAGTCTGACGACGACATGGACGTCAGTCCGCCGCTACACAACTCCGTGTACGTGAACACGGTGCGACTCGAGAACGGACTCGACAGCTCCGACCACGACGCCAACGACAACCCTGTGCCGCACAGGAACACCTCAGACAAAGTGACAGACACTGACTTACCAAATCTAGATAGTATATCGCTGAAAAGCAAGCCCGCCAAAAGCGGCAAAGTGAGAAAAATGAAAAGACGGACAGTCAAATGATTCTTTCTAGCTTTCCAGTTTGTTCACAGGCTGAGGCGAAGGGTCGCGTCAGCTCGCAAACACTACGTTTAACATTAACGTTACATTTTCGAACATTCCTTTTTTTCGGTGACTGGTGTTTAAAATACGTGCATTTATAGGTTGGACGAACCTACAAACTCTGGGACTCTGGTCTCTCACTTGTTTCGTAAAAACGATATTTTTCTAAAGCATTATAATTAAAATCTGCGGCCTCCGCGCCCGGCTAACGGGAGGGTGTTAGTATTTTTAGTACAATTTTAATTTAGTTCAAATTCAGGTATAGAAAATTAGATACTTGAATAAAAATGATGTTATACGTGAAATAATCATCGAACTTGTATATTTACAATAATGAATGTATATCTGTGTAAAATTCAATTGAAGTTAACCATAACACCTACTATGTGTATAGAAATTTCGTGTTTATAGGTAGACTATTATCTTGACTGCATTTCTTTCTTTCCTCTTATTTACCGTGGATTAGGTATTTATTTTGTTATTTCTGGTTCTAAGTCTATGTGTTATTTGTTAAAGAATTGATCAGCAATAAAATATATTTCGTCTATATTGGCTGCATACATTTGTTTTATTATTTAATAACTCATTAGCAAAATACTCTCATTGTATGAATAAGATAATAGCTAAGTCTAGACATAATGACGCATCGTCACAGCGACGTAGCGCACACTGCATTAGAAATCCACTAAAAAGTCTAAATAGTGGGAGGTCATTGACACCGGCACACCGACGTCATTGATAAAGTAATATTTCGCGTAACTACGTAGAGTTGACGCGCGCATAGTTTTTCTTATTTCCTCTGGATGGCAAATAATGGACGTTTAATAGCGACAATTGAGTAATAATGTAGTGTCGTAAATGCGTGTAAAATCAGGCTAACGATACAATGACAACATGATTTATTGCTCACAAGTGTTTAGCGTCAATATATTTTCTTTTTACTATATTGTCTACTGTTATTTTCTATATATTTTTTAATAAATATAATTTTCTGAAACAAATTACAAAGGATTTGTGGTTTTGAAGACACTAACAAGTGGAATAATAATGAAATGTCTTTGCCCCGGAAACATAACTTAAAAACTCAAACATGTAAAAAATGGCGGGCGGGAAAACAAAACAAAATGGATGTTCCAAATATTTATTACAATGAAGACCATTACATCATGTTATTATAAACCAGGTACAATGTTTATAATTTATTATCATTAGGCTATCCTGCGAGGGAAATATTTTGCGTTAGTAGATGCTGTCAATATACGGCCGTGTTCAAAATCAAGGTTTACGGTGTTTCATCGGGTTGGGAATGGAAGATAACAATACAAGACCAGCTTCTGTACTCCCCAGGTAGTATTTATATACAAAATTACCTAAACAAACAATGTGCAATTACCCGCGCGTCCATAATAAATGTCAAATAAAGTTACAGTAGCTGCATTGCTGTTAACATTAGCATTAGATTTAGCTGTCTGGTAAAAAAATCCCATAAAACTTGATTTCCAACACAAATAACAAAAAAAAGTTACGTTTTTAAAACATTCAATGTGTATTACTCCGTAAAGCGTAACAAAAATAGATCATTTCTATTAAAATATCATACGTTTCTAAAAATATTAAAATTTTTCATTTTAAATCAATAAATCAACTACATTTTTTAATTATTATAAGGCCCCTATGTATGTACCAAAATTACGTATATCGTATATCTATTGATCATTTTTTTACAAATTTTATTTTTTTTTGCTACGAGTAAGAGAATACTACTAGACAAAATAGTTTTGTGCCGACTTCAACACCACTGAAAGTAATTATGTCACACTGTTAGCAAGATTTATTCAATAATAAAGAACATCTTTCTGCGAATATGTTTGCGAAATGCAGTTTAATTAAAGGCGACGTAAAATATAACATGATCTACAAACAATATTATTCTATCACTCACAGCAGCTTCGTTGCTGTAACCAAAACTTACATAGACAATTAAAAAAAATATTCGAAACTTTACAGAATGTAAGCACAAAATAAAAAATATGATAATAATTATGTATTTGGTATTACACAACATAATTTCGTTTTTACAAAAATATAAATATAATGAGTTACACTCATTAAACATAAAAACTATAAAAAACTGGGGCTACATGAAAAAGGTTAACAATTATGCATAGATATTCCCCAATTCATTAAAATAAAAAAGGTAAACACTTATAGTGTCGCCAAAACAGAATTTATAGTCAATCGACATCTGTTAACTATAAAATGTTAAATAAATAAATACAGGTGAACTTTAATATTAAATATTTAAGTTACATGACAACAAAAACGGCCGTACATGGTAGTCTTTGATATGTTAACTATTTTAATAATTATTTTACAATCTAAAAAAAACTTTATAAAAAATATATTGCATTGTGTCGTTGTATATTTATGTATCAATAATAAAATATGAGGAAAAAGTATAAGCGCCGATTTCATCTAATTAGGACCTCGGTAGCCTTATCATGCAAATTAAATAGTCATATTTTTCTTTGTTCTAAATGTAGATAAGACGTTTTTATAGAATTTGCTTGATAAACTTTATCCCCGCCGTTGTAATCCTGCAACAATCATCTCTTTCATAGATTTTAATTAGATGAAATCGCGGTTATTTATACACTATGTGTAGTTTTGTACTCATGAGTTTGCACCAATCGCTGTAAAACTATTGTTAATCGTCAGATAGGTAAATATCATTCAGTATAACTGCCTATTAGAGAATATAATGTACTGCTATTGTATATGACTAGTGGTATAAGGGCATAGACTGACGCGGGAACTCGGTGTGTTGATTGGCCGTAGCTTAGATGTTAATGTGAAAATATAAACAGAACAAAATCAAAAGATTTGCGAAACAAAAACTACAAGCGACTAACTTATTGCAAAGTTACAAATATAATGGTATTATGCTTCTGACAATTATAAAATTTGTTCTTTTTTAGATAGAGTTTAAATTGCGTGATCACAACATCCTAAGCTGAAGCCTTACATACATTTCAAACCAACGAACCGATTGGTTCTCAGTCTACAACCTCGGGAAGGATTTAGCAAAAATATTTCCAACAAATACATACAACAGTCGAAAAACTTAAACATTAACAGTTTCATATAAATTGTATTTATAAAAAACATTTTTGCGGAAATCTTTTCTGATATCTGCTTAAAGGAAATATGTATAATCATCGATATACAAAATATATGAAATTTTCTTACTTTTACTTATACCAAATGTGCGATAGGAAAGGTCCTAACATTATTATAGATAAACTTTTTTTATTTTTATTTTTTTCTTGCATTAACTTTAAAATTCCAGATCTTTCGATTGTAAACTTTGTATTAGCATTAGCTCGATCCGAAAACTATTCCACATTGAACTCAAAGGCCACTCTTATAGAGCACAATAAAATAAAAAGCGAAATTAATAATAATCATACATATTTAACTTGTATATCAATAAAGATTTCGATATGCTTCACACACTTATACATTAAATTAAGACAACGGGTGTTAACTGATTCAACCAGCCCTATGGTCGTGTATTTCTCAAATAGAAAAAAAAACTAATTTTCTCACTAACCTAACATAGTACAATTAAATTTCTAGAAAAGAATAAGTTGCATTTGAGGTAGATTAAATTTTTTACAGTCCTATTAACCTAATAGATTAGAATTATTCACATAATATTCTACGTATCAAGCGTGTACATGATCTCACATAATATGCTCTCCTTGCATTACCAGACGCCGAACATTGACCATTATTATTAAAACCATTACATTACCGAAAACTATTTTAACTTAATATAGATTTTAACATGTTAATGTGTCAGGAATTGCATTCGAAATGTTTGGTGCTACCGAAATCGGGAAGTAAGTGTGGGATTGTTGTACATTTTTAGTTTTCCTCCCTTTCTAGTTATTCGGGCTCTTCGAATATTACATACAAACAAATATCATCATTGCACATTAGTTTATCGTATCGTAAATGCACAGGGAATCTAATGTAATGTTTGACTAATGCTAATGATGCCCCAATCTCGATGGCACTCCAAATTAACTGAACAGCGCACGTGCACAACTCGCGATTAAGAACGACATGAAAATATAATTAAGATACAAACCACGTATTAAATTTAGACAGAATATCAATTCTGTTGAATGAAATGATGGAAATATAGAATTGTCTTCAAGATTCTGTTTACGGTTAAGGACAATCCTATTGGTATTCTCAGACTAAATATTTTCAAAGGAACCTAGCGTCGAAATAGCATTCTTCAAAGGATAATTTAGAAGAAAACTTCGATAAGAAAGTCGAATAAAATATGAGAAATAGCAAGAGGTGAACGCCTCGCGAATTGTTCACGTGTCGATCGCGAAAAAAACTTTTGTTTGAAAAATGCAAGGCACATAAATCAAGCTATAATATACTTCCATTTCGCACCGAACAAGTTGGTGAATTATCGCTATCGCAACATCAACCATCTGACACACATCACTAAACGAATTACATAATTTGGCTCATTATTCTAAAACGTATGCCAAGAAAATTGTTCCTCTGAAGTAACAAATTCCGAAAGTTATTACTGTATGAAAATATAAAAATATTACGGTCAAAATTATGAAAATTTTGCATTTCTATCGCCGGCAGAACGAAAGAAAGTTCAAAAGTATTACTTATAATTCCTGCACACGCGAGTCTAACGAGCAAATGAAATCCGGATTACCGAGTAACGTACGTCGACTTCATCTATTCGCAATCCTATCACTTTTGGCACATTTTTGTTACAATGACAATGATAACGACGTATACTACGTATGGACACGGAGTTTTCTTGCTCATCAGACACACACCCAATTAGTATATTCTATAGGAAGCACAAGTGCCTCTGAGGTATATTGATCATTTTATTGCATTTTGTTTCTAGCTCAAGTCTGCCTGTTGTAAGGACTTCAATATCATTCTGGACAATAGAATGAAATGGAACCCTAAAACCATACAATATAAAGCCTTCAATTGTATAACTCTGCTATGAACACTTAGCACTTACACTTAAAGATGATCTGATGTTAATCTACTCCGGCAGAATATGACATTCACTTTATTGATTTCAAAGGAATATGCTCTCTGTTGTATTATATTATCGCGTCGAAAGCAGCAAGCCTCTCTAAAACATATTATAATAGCTCACTGCCTTCAAGAGTCATACGCCCTGCTTGTATTCTGCTTACTATACTCATACCGGACCGGCCGTGTATGCGGCCCGTCTCAACTAAGCACTAACTGTATCCCATCTAATAGCTCACAGAGTTGGTCCCAATTATACTCCATAAACGTCATGTACGCAGTGCGCTATAAATAAACAATATATAATTCCGAAAGTACATACACGACTAGATCACATATTCATGTAGAATTCGGAAGTAATTTTGGTATACCCGAGACGTACAAATATACAATTTGGCAATATAAACCCGAGGGCCCGCGCCCTCCGGCTTCCATACCTATCTGCTTACACGAGATGAAATCAAGTCCAACAATATTACAATTGCATTACTAACTGCACTCAAGACTATTTACAGCTTAGATCAACCTTACCTAGTGAGGTAGTTCGGTATTCACATAAGCTAAATGCAGGAATCTCACCCTTCACAACCTCCTTATGCCACCTGCAATGTAATGCACAACTGCAGATTACCTTCAAGAGGCGCCGGTGAGGCAGGGTTAGTGAGGCGGGGGCGGCGGCGGCGGAGGCTTGGGGCTCTGCGCCGTCTGGAAGGCTTGTGTGAACGCTGGTAGTCTCTGCTGGACCCTGCCTTCCTCGCCTGTGAATGTTGGCTCACTATCCTCTAACAGCCCTAGCATTTGGCTCGACAGACCGGAAGGGCCCTCGCCCGGATCCATCAACAGGGACTCCACATTCCCCGAATGGAGTAAGTGTGCTTCCATAGAGTCAGGCAGCTCCTGGGTCGACAAAAACGGCAAGTCCGTCGGCGTCTGGGTGTATGGTGGAGCTACCATAAACATCATGGGATACTCAACTGGAAGCAATGTACATCCCGGTGATCCCGGCTGCTCTAACTTTATGTCTAGCGATTCCTCCAACTTTATATCTATAGGTTCTACCTTAATATCGAGGTCGGGTGGAATTTCTACAATAATATCTGTAGAGGGCACCCGGGTTGGTTGACCACTCTCTGATGTACTCTCTTTGGGTGAGGGTGGTTTCCACATTGAAAAATCAGTATCTTCTATAGGATACTCAGTATATGTTTCTTCAAATGCAGATGCCTCAGGTGGGGGCTCGCTGGATGTACCAACAGCTGCAGATTTCCATGATTCTTCAGGATGAGCATTTTTTACATGCCGCACCAGATGGTCTTTACGCCCAAACTTTTGTGGGCAGTGAGGGCAAAGGAAATCGCGCCTGCCTGTATGCACGACAAGATGACGCCTTACATCCTTAGCTGTGAAAAACTTTCGTTCACAATAGTTACATGTAAACTTCTTATCAGAATCATTTTTAACAGTGCGACTACCAGTGTGGACTTTAAGGTGATATATTATATCTTGCCGAGTGGTAAAATTCATATCGCAAATCTTACACTGAAGATTGCCTTCTTCAGCAGAATGCAAGGCAGCATGCTTTCGGAAGCTCAAAAGGGAAGTATAGGATTTTCTGCAATCTGGCCTTTCACATGTATAAAGCTTTTTAACTGGATTATGCACTCTAACATGGTTGGTGAGATGATCCTTGCGATTGAAAGTCTTACCACATACATTGCACGCAAAGGCTCGCGCCTCACTATGTATTAGATTGTGTCGCACAAGCTTGAACTTAGAGTTGAAGCGTTTGTCACACAGATCGCAGGAGAAGGGCAGCTCGCCAGTGTGTGACAAAACATGTTGGCTGAGCTTGCCCGGGCTAGAGAAGCGCTTGTCACAAGTGCTGCAGACATGGCGCTTGGCGTGATCCTTGCGGCCACGCGACTCCCGCGCCTCGGGCAGTGACGGGCCGGGCGCGCTGCCCTCCCCCTCGCGCGGCCGCCGCGGCAGCGTAGGAATGCGCCGCGCCACTTTGACCGTCCGGAACAACTGCTTGATGCCGCTGGGGCCGGACGCACCGAGCGTCACGTACTGCAGCTTCGTGGGCAGCTGTGACGCGGGTGGCGCTATGAACGTCTTCTGCGGGGCGGCCGGGCGTTCCCCGCTCGGCTCCTCTTTGAACTCGGAGCCGCCCTCCTCGCCTTCCTTAGGGTTTGGTGGCGGGCTGGCCATCTCGCGCACATTTTTGACGCGCTTGCCCTATATCGCCGTTCGTTTATCTCGCGTCGTACTCGTATCGGCTCCGCGGTGGTGCTGGCTCGTCGTGATGGCAGAAAACATTTCTGTCACATTGACGGTCTGGAAGCCCTTTTTCGTATTCGTGTCACATGGTTCTCGCGGAATTTCTCATGCCTGCAGTCGATTTTCACACAGCGATGAGTTCCACCCACACCCCTAAGATACTTTTCGATTGAAAAAACTGGATACAGATTGAAAACGAATAGAAAAATTACTTTTTTCAAAGAAATACGTAGCGCTTGACATCGAAATCACGAAATGTCAAAATAATGAAATGAAGCTAAAAGCCATGTCAAAAAAAGTCCGCCGAATCGTCAGCTGTGGTCCATTGACCTACATCGGGTGCTTTCAGTACTACAACTGTTCGAGGAATTTTCAGCTCCTAGCAGTACAATTTTTTAATATTAATAGTATCAAATATATAAGGTATTTATTTAAGCTAATAATAATTTGTATTTATATTTCCTTGAGTCCAGTTTGCTCTCATTTAGGACATTTTTATCTTATCAAAGTCAAATTGGTATGCTTCAAAGTTGAACCATTACGAATCTGGAACGCACTATTTGATGTTCAATGTTCAATCAAGGTTCAATCAAACAGCGTAGTAAAAAAAGAATTTTCATTTTCTAAGCAGAGTACAGATAGTATAATATTGTGTTACTACAAGGATGAGGAAAATACTATTTTAATTACTATAAAGAAAGATCATCGAACCAACTTAGAGAAAGAACGAAAAGATTAAGAAGTGAAGAAAAGTACGGTAAAATGGGGTGAATAAGGTTTAAGCGGCAAAATGGGACAGAAGAGGGGTGAATAGATAATTATAAGGAAATTCTTCATAGTATCGATTCACCCCTCTTCTGTCTCTATTCACCTCTCGATCCCTATTCACCCCATTTTACGTACCTATCCAAAATCTATATTTATTGTGTGCCTAAAGCAGCAGTGTAGTAAACATATAAGACAGCAACAAAACTGCTTTCTGATCATAATTTTGGAATCAGGATAGCTGAGCTGAGGTTGAAACCCTGGCTCAGACATTATTTGTAATTTCAAAGCAGAAATACACCCCCTGGCTGATAATTAAGTACTCAAAACAGTTGGAAATAGATAAATAAATTGTATAATTGTATAATATAGTATATTTTAATATAGTATATATTCAGTATATTAATAATATACCAAAATTAGAATATTGTATGATCCAAATACAGAAGCCTCCACTATTTATCGTAATTGTAGTAAATAATCAAGAGAGGGTATGGGGAGGGTACGGCTAGAGTAGGTACAATAATTTGATATTTTGCCTGATTTGGGTTACATTACATTACAGTAATATTATTAATAGTCCATGACATTACATTACACAAAATTACACCTAATCCTGAGTTGGGAGTAATGTTCAGGATATTGTTAATTGCTTTTAATGTGCTTTAGTGTAGAGGATATCTGTATCTTGGTTAGTTTTTATCAGCATAAATATCATGATATAGTAAAAAAGTCACGTGTCCTTTTTTGGGGCCGTATACTGAATATCATTGCCAGAAAAAATTTCCGAATATTTCATTCGGTCAATCAGTTAGATCTGTGACCGTAAACTACGATAGTCATCATTCATTCATTCAATGTCAATCGCTCTGATTCTGATCTTGATAACCTAACTTCCAGTTTTTATTTAAAAATTGCAAATTTTGAGCCTTGTGGTGTTAATTACTAATTTTGTGGTCAATTCCAAAATCACCTAAATTAATCAGGTAAGGTATAGTGTATAGAACTATTCTCTTTGTTCTTACATGGAATTGCTTTGCTGACGAGATTCCTGTGTTCTTTGCATCGTTTATTTTTTAGGTTTCTTTTTATTGTAAAAAAATATCACGTTCACTAACAGTGTATTTCTAAACGTTGAAACTATAGTGTTAAATATACATTATGGTGCTTTAGTGGTACGCGGAGGTCATAATATTCTAATTTTAGCGAATCAATTGTATGTTGTTTGAAATACAATATCTCAGATCTAGACGCGGGGCTTCTTAGTGTTATTTTCTTTGTATTACAAGGCAATGTAAAGTAGGATACTCACACTAGTGAGTATAAAATGTCTAACATTTTCTAAAAACGTTGTTAAATTCAGTAGTCAAATAATATATTTAGCTTGACTATGATAACAATATTGTTATGAAGTCGGATAATCTCCGTGGCCTTTGGACGCTACTCTATCTATTGTACCATCAACAACGTTAAAGCTCAAAACACAGAGAAATGTGAAAATAAATCATGTTAAATACTAAATTGTGGTCCAAATAATAGTTTCTACTATAATTATTTATAATTTTATTAAATTTTGATACACTTCCATTCAGCTTGTAGGTCCTGTGCCCTAAAAAGATTTTCTTAAAAAATCTGAATTATGTACTGTATGGAAGGACTTTCAAAATAATTTTAAAAAGGTTTTGTTGCAATTTAACACTGTTTCATATTAAAACTAAACAATTGTAACTTACAATATTGTGATGTTTTAATGAACTATTTGTTTGTAATCAGTATGGATGTTTAACTAAAATATCATGGTCAATAATGTTTTTTACACAGTTTGTATCAAACTTTTTCTTTTATGTAGCTGTGGTCACCAAATGCTACTGTTACCATTTTAGAATTGATTCTTCCAATGCCAGATAAATTTTTACTTACGAAAATATTTGACAATTCTTCCAAACTAAAAACTGTAATTTGTCAATTTTATTATATACACTTAAAAATTAACTGATGATTGAAAAATTAGGCCCTAATTGCCAAGTATCCAAGCGGTAATAAAATAAAACATTAAATATTGAATATTCATTATCTGTAGGTGAATCATCAGAATATTGCTGATGATGATAATTTTAAGCTCTATGTAGAACTGCTAAGATATTATTTTATGACCAAGTAATCCTTACTTTAGCCTGTTATACTGGTACAAATGACTAGAGTAGACATATAATATATTTCCAACATAATTGTTTTATAATGACACTAGCATTCTATCTGTTTAAACTGTCAAACACCAAGCGGTCACCGGTGACCGCAACCTATTGTTCTATAATTGTGTCTACAAAACCGGTACTTGACGAGTTAATATAGTTTTCTTCTTCTTAGTCGATTCCCTCACTGCCGAGGATCGTGATTACCTCTGATTCTGCTCACTAGATGTTGACACTTATCTCGTTCCGTTGCTTGGTGCATTGCAACATTCATAGGTATCTCCAGCTCCTTGGATATTTGGTCAGACAACCTTATAGGACTCCTGCCTCTCGTTCTTTTTCCTTCTACCTTACCATTCACTATGAGGCGTTTCAGACTGCCAGTATCTCTGTGTACAATATGGCCAAAGTATCGCACAATCCTTTACAACCACAAATACAGTTTTAGAATATTTTTTTTTTTTTTATACATAATGGGCACCTCAATTATCTCTACAGACAAACATTGCTGCCATGAATTTTTAGTAATTAGCTCTGGAATTATGATATTTGATTGCTTTCTAATGAGACTAGTCTAGTTATACTAGATCATACTATGATTGTGAAATATTAGAAAATTCAAATCAATTGTAATGAAGATGGGCGTTTCAATGAAAATAAAAAACAATAATAAGTAAAGAATCTTTTTATAAATTGGTCTATCTTGCAGGAAAAATGTCTGAGCAACAGGTAGCTTCAACCCCAGCGTCCGCAGCCGTGTCGGCCACCAGCGTCGCTGAGGAGCAACGGTCGGGCAGCGGAGGAACCGTTGCAGGCTCTGGTAATTTATATTTTATGGAAACTATACTTTATTATTAGAAGCTTAAAGTGTAGTTTAAAGATGTTTTTATAATAACTATTGTAAGACATACTAAATTAACTAAAAACCACGGATTACTCTCGTGTAAGCTGCGCGACATCGCCGCGACCGCGCACGCTGCTCATGAGGAACCCCACTGTGGTTCGAAACTAGTAGAGCTTTTCTCAGCTTAAAGATGTTTCATTTCTACCTGCTAATGGAGGCAAGCCCATAGTTAGACTGTATATTAGTATTTTTTCACATGCATGATACATGATTTTTGTATCTTGAAATTATACAGGCTGATCAAGCGAAGCCGCGGCTTGAAAGCTTAAATTGCGTCCACATTTAGCCGTTATAATCAAGTTGTCCACTAATAATGTATAACGTTTAATCCTATTCTAACACAGGCGGCAGTGCAACTGGCAGTGCGGCTGGATCAGCTGGATCTGAAGAGAAATTATATGGAGGATGTGAAGGCCCAAACGCTATGTATGTGAAGCTGATCTCTTCAGATGGCCATGAGTTCATTGTGAAGAGGGAACATGCGCTCACCTCGGGCACTATCAAGGCTATGTTGAGTGGACCTGGACAGTTTGCTGAGAATGAGGCCAATGAAGTCAACTTTAGGGAGATTCCGTAAGTATTATTTCAGATTATGATTTTGTAATGCTTAATGTTACCAGAAATATGAAACAGAAAGGTTAATTTAGTATTTAGATTACAAATAGTACTTGTTATCCAAATTAAAACTTAACTTTACGTGAGAAGCATCTACTGCTCATTAAATTTTTCTTCTCAAACAAAGAACCTGGCATTCAGAGGCTGTACTCCAAAAATTGGACAATATTTGGTAGAGAATTGATGAGAATTGTGGTAATTGAGCAACTCATATGGTGTAGAGTTTATAGTCCATGTGCATTCTAAAGGCGTGTTCACATCAGCAAATGCGCCACTTTCAAGCATCTTGCGTTACACATACGCACAGTAAAAAGAAGAAAGGAACAATATTTTAATTATATATTTCTTCACCATTCCAGCTCCCACGTACTGCAGAAGGTGTGCATGTACTTCACGTACAAAGTTCGTTACACAAACTCGTCGACGGAAATCCCTGAGTTCCCGATCGCCCCGGAAATTGCGCTGGAGTTGCTGATGGCTGCTAACTTCCTTGACTGTTAAGAGTACAGCTATGTACCGGTAGATGGTGCTAGTGAGACGGCCACCAAAGAGGTTGACTGCAAAAAGTTTGTAATAAAAACTTAGCAGCTGTCTGATGAAGATCTCTTGACATTGTAAGGTTCCTCACTCATATATTATCTTATAATGTAATGTAAAATGTTAATAAAAGAAACATTCTTAATAAGTAAATTAATTGAATTTATTATTTTTATATTTAACAGACAGCAATAAATTTTTATTTGCTAAACCTCTTTGTTTATTTTTAGTTGCCATGGTAACGTGTCTCACTAGCGCCACAATGATCAAAGTGGTCATTATAATAATATATGAGATCAGTTCACACAGATTTGTGTGATATCAATATGTTTACGGTTTAAAAATCGACCGACACTGGTCGGTAAATTAACGGTGGATTTATTAATTACACATAATATTTTGTACTTTTAATAGACAGGGATACACTATATCAAAGAAGATTTGACATTGTTGAATTAACGAAGAAAAGTAATCTAAGGAAGATTGTCTATTTAGAAATCTTCGCTACCTATGTAATGAATTCTGTACTATTGTTGGCAGACTTACTGAGTATTATAAGATTGTGACTCGAAACTAGTAGAATTTTAAATAAGCCATTATTTCAATTATATTTGGGAAAATGTGATGTACACTAAGTTCATGTCTATGTAGCCTTTACAGGAATAAAAGGCGTGATCTTACATTTATAACTGTCTATTAAAATATAATTTTAACACAACACATAAATCTTACTTCTCATAGTGATATTTTTCACTTTATTCATCGTTCAATAAAGATTATAATCGTATGGTTGGTTCGCTCATTTATACAATGATTATAAAATTACGCAACGTCACCTAGAAACAGAGCATTGCTGTGTGTTAATTAAATAGGATGTTGTTGTCGTAATATTATTTAAAGTATTTTCATTGAGCAAACCAACTTTTCATTTATTCAATAAGTTTTATAATATATTCATGAATAAACAATCTATTTTAGCTGTACACTGGTTCTGTTTACAACTTTATTCGTAAATGAAAGTTGTACAGCCGAATGGACTTATTTATTTATGAATACAAACAATCAGAGGCGTATTAAAACCTAGATAGAGCGCCATAGGCCTCACAGCCGCCTCTAATAATTTTGGCGCCGCTGTCAGTCTATGGGCATGCGACTCTCGATGTCGCGGCGCCCCACTGTAAATGCCTAAGGCACTTGCCAAGTTTGCATCAAGGATAATGCAGCTCTGTAAGCAATACTTAGTCCATTTGTTTCTTGCTAGTATGTCAAGGGTGAACGCAAATAAGGGTAAATAAACTAAAACCCTTTTATAGTAATATGGTGTTATAATATCGGGTCGATGAATTTAATAATTTCTTTAGCAAAGTCTGATTTCTATTGTATTATAATTTTTAGTAAACAAAAATTGTAAATGTCATTTTTGTACATACAAACAATTACATGTAGTGGATATTTTGGGAATGATTGTAGGTACAGCTGTTAGTAATCACTGTTATAACGTCTCTCTTTGAAGTGTTTGTTGGTAAAATGAAAGTGTTTTCATTTTTAAAGATAATGAATTGACGAACTTTCCTCTTGTTTATTAAACCTCAGTGCACCGAAATGGCGTTCCATTTCAGTTGTGGTCCAATTTTCGCATTGGAAAAGTTATTATTAAGGCTTTCACTGCCAATAGAAAACTGTTAAAGGTAAATTCTCCGCTAACTTCGGTCACATGTGACCCCATATCGGTTAACGTGTTAAGAAATTGTAATAATTTCTGAAATAGTAACCCTCTGTAAGTAATATACTTTCTGCGATTTATCAATTCTAAAATACTTTCATTTTGCAAACAAACACACTAATTAACTTAAAAAAACAATAATAATCTTATATTTGTTCCGTAGTTTGTGGGTACCGCATTTAAAGAGCACTTTTTTACGTTCAAATACCAAAAATGCTATTTATATGCTATTATACGTCAGTAATATTTTTCTAACGTCACTAATAACTTGTAATATTAATACTGTAGGTAAACTTAGCAAAAAAATCACATTTCAAGGTCGAAATAAATAACAATTACAATATTTAGCTATCTCTTTCTTACCATTTAAAAATACTAAAGGTTATATATAAATACTAAATCCTACTGTAGTAGGCTGCGCGACATCGCTGCGACCGCGCACGCTGCTCATAAGGAAGAACCCCTCTGTGGTTCGAAACTAGTAGAGCTTTTCTCAGTATTTTCACGTGAGTAACCCTCGATTTTTAGTTATGTAATTTAGTATGTCTCACTATAGTTACTATATAAAACTAAAGGTGAAAATTTTATCGATAAGTATAGGTATACATTAAAAGCTATGTTTATTACTTTTGTCAATTTCTATCTTCTGTTCGTTTCTAACATGTTATAATAATAGGTGTAAGAAAGAGATAGATTTATTATGTAAATGTTTATATATTTCGATTTGAAATGTATTAGTTCCACACAATATAACGCTTGTAAAAACCGGATTGCTAGAATGTGATTATTTATTTTGTCAAGTGTCACTAAAACATTAACCAAATCGCAATGTTTAGCTTTTTATTTTGTTAATAAACCGTAAATTCTTATTGTTGTTGTTTTATTTCTGGTCGAAATGGCTTCTGGGTAAGCACCCAGTTCAAGAGTAAGCACTCTTGAAACCATTCTCAATGTCAATGTAATTTCAATCCAATAAAATCTCAATGTAAACACTATACAACCCCTCACACAAACAAACAGCTCACACATAGGACCCACTTAGTTTTTAGTCAAATTTCCGTGGTGCTTGGGCTTCACCCAGTTGTACAGTCTCTTCTTTGTGCCTTTAGGCTTAATTCATTCTGTCTCCTGCAGTAATTCACCGAGGGAAGTGAAAACCATAGTTTTTCTTCTACTCCTCTTATAATATCTTCTGATTCACTTCGTTGCGGGAACCAAGACAGTTACTCATGTCTCTGGGACGCGCCGGACTTCAGAGTTCCGGTGTTTTCATGGTTGTATCTACTGTAGATCCTGGCTTACAGGAGTTGCAGCGGTTTTGGGAGGTTGTGGCGGGCTTGTCCCATTAACAACAATCTATACAACCCCTATCATAGCTGTAAAATAGCATTCAGAGTACGGAATATAAAACCAAACTCAATACCATTCAGTTAGCAGTGATTCGATGATTTCCCCCCTTAAAAAAAATATCATTTAGTTCATTTAATAGCCACGCAATACGAATACAATGGGCGCTAGTGTTGCAACTCAAGAGTATGTAATTTCATAATACCAATGTCGACCTATCGGAATTGGATTCAAGAGTAAGCCCCCTGGTATGGTTTGCCTACACACTATTATCACTCAATAAACAAAGTCAAGTATTAAACAATAAAGTATATCGACTTCAATCTGTTTTTGGAATTAATAATGAAATTAGATTATATAAACAAGAATAAAATAATATTTACCTACCTACCAGTACCATTCAGTCCATGTCCATACATTATGCGATCCTGATCGAGTTCCGACACCCAGTGCCCGCGACGCGTATGTGCGTTCTTCTGTCCTCGATGCAAATACACTGTGCCTCCGACTCACATGTGCGTTCATGGCATTCTGTTTTACGAACTACACAGACCACTTGCTATATAATGCGACCCTAGTACTTTTTGTCGAGTTTCAACACCCAGTGCTCGCGACGCGTATGTGCGTTCATCTGTTTTCAATGTAATAAAGGATCATGGGTGCATTGGACGTTGAACCAACAGTGTTAATATAATTATATATAGTTATATCATGTCACTAGGTGACCCTCCAAAGTTCGTATCGCCTAAAAATATTTTCTCACCTTTTTAACCTTCCCTGGACTTGAACATTACAAGACCAAAATTAACCAAATCGGTTCAGATGTTCTCTAGTTTTAAAATCAGAACGGTCCAAGAAGAGATAAAACAGTATATGGATCCCGGCGCGTCCCAGGGATATGAATAACTGTCTTGGTTCCCGCAACGAAGTGAATCAGAAGATATTATAAGAGGAGAAGAAAAAAAACAATAGGTTCCCCTTCCCTGGGTAAATTACTGCAGGTGACGGAGTGAATTAAGCCTAAAGGCACAAATAAAAAAGAGACTGTACAACTGGGTGAAGGTCAGTCGCCAAGCACCACCGAAATTTAACTAAAATCTAAGTGGGTCCTATGTGTGAGCTGTTATACTTGCTTCCAATAATAGGTATGGCAAAAGCGCCTAACCGCACGAAAATTTGTTTTAGATTCCACAAGGTCCGTATAATAAACTACACCTGACGAAACAATTAAATTATTTAACATAGTGTTACGTTCATACTGCCATAGAGATCACACTCCTAGAGTATGTGATGGGCGGACTGCTCGTATTACAGCTCCGCTGTCGAACATTGGCACCATCGTGAATCAACAAGTTTAAATGAAAAAAATTTGCTTTTAAGGTTGCCGTGGCCAGTAAGAAATTTAGCAACACAGTGATCCACTTCCAACCATGTCCTCTCTAGCCGCTCATGCACGGATGGGAAGAATTGATATAGGTGGCGGCCCTTAATAGAAGATTCCCATCTACACTGCCATTCAGTTATAAGCTCGCCCCAAACGTCCGTTAATGGCTTAAACAATCTAGCAATTTTATTTCGTTCACGTTGTGCTAGAAAGCTTGCTGACAAATTAGGTCTCGCATTCTAGTACATAGCAGCACGTCGCTGCACCTCAAGATCAACCGGAAGCACGCCCGCGAGCACAGATAGGGCCTCAGTGCTAACCGTCCTATAAGCCTTACACAGGAAAATCAAGGCTAGACGCTGGCCTTGGAGAAGTTTTCGCCGTACCGCGCCTATTGTGGCCCTATCAACCTAAACAGGTGCACCGTAGCACACGCATCCCAGGTAGGTTGCTTCGTATAATGATCCTGAGCGTAAGAAAAGAGAGATCCTAGGTGGCTTTTGAAATTCGCGTTTGCGCATAGAAGTTATTTTTTCACTAATTGCCTTAATATGTTCAATGAAAGAAGAAAAGCTTTTTCCATGGTTGCAGACTCTAGAGTATCGATAATACAAGTCCAAAATGTGAGTAAATATTTTTTTTTTGGTCAGCATTGAAGTTGAACGCAAAATCTCGCTCTTCTACTCCCAGTGCCCGCGACGCGCATGTGCGTCTTTAGTTTGTACGACATAGCAAGCATTCTCAGTTTTACCATCTGTGGTTTTACGAACTACACAGACCTCTTGCTTGGATTATTTGAATCTTTCTGCTTCGCTGTCGTCGGGGCTATTTCCGAACCGATACGAAGTTCAAACCTTCAAGAGTGTATTCCTTTTTTAAAAGGCCGGCAACGCATCACTGGTGTTACTTACGGGTGGGCGGCGCTGATCGCTTACCATCAAGTGTTTCGTTTGCCTATTATTCCATAAATAGTACCTACTTTTTGTCAAGTGTCTGTGTAGGTACTCTCAGTGCTCGCGACGTTTATGTGCTTCTTGACTTTACTTCACGACACTGTGCCAGTGCCACAGATGGACATGTGCGTTTATAGCATTCACTATACCTATAGACCTCTTGCTATGTGACCTTAATACTTTTCATCAAGTTTGAACACTTGAGAGCATTCATACCATTTGAACGAAGACTTTTCTGTCATATGTCTAAACGTGGATCCTCGCGAGACACAATGTTATTTATTTTAAAAAAAAAACTTCGTTGCCCCACACTATAGTTATCTCCTGTGTCGTGGGTGCGTTTACAAACATACAAGTTCACATACACATGACATCTAGACCCGAAACAACAATTTGTGGATCACACTAAGTGTTGTTCCTTGCGGGAATTGAACCCGCGACACATTGCACGGCAGCCGGTTGCCCAGCCACCGCACGGTTGGTGCGGTGGCTGGGCAATGAACAATGAACTGAGATTTCTTTCAATTGTGTCTCATATACAGGCGTTCAAGCGGTTAAACGATCTCAAGACGCACATAAGCGTCGCGGGCACCGGGAGCTGAAACTTGACAAAAAGTAGTGCGAGGCTAGTGTCGTTTGTAAAACAGAGAATGCTGTGAACGCACACGTGAGTCAGTGGCACAGTTTTGTGTAGTCAGTGCCTTTAGCCAAACGCCACTTTAGCGCTTGTCTACAGAGAGAGTAGAAATCAAAATGTATATAAATTTGACATAAATTTTGACACCTGTCGTCATGTCATCCCTATCATATAATTTGGTTTTCTATTCAACATATAGACAAGCGCTCAGTGGCATTTGGCTACAGCTCTAGGTCAAGACGCACATACGCGGGCACCGGGAGCAAAAACTTTATAAAAATTACTAGGGTAGCATAATAAATAGCAATAAGAGGTGAGGGCAGTTCGTATGAACATCTTATATCTTCGAGTGGGGTAATACAATAGCAAGTTGTTGTCAGAAGGTGGGGACGAATGGTAATTTTCGAATTTTGAAATCGGTTTTAACCCGTTGTAAATCATCCCCTAAATTCGTTCATACAAAAGTAGTCTCTAAACTTTGTAATAAGGTCTATAATGTAGTTAGTGGAGAGCGGTCACCTGTGACCGCTTGTTGTATAAAATTAGTAGTAACATTAGTAGTAGTGGAGAAAATAGCTCATTATCATGATCAGTAGTAGTTTTTAATAATAGGTAGGGTAGGTACACGATGCAAATAAAACAAAATTCGAATGATTGACTTGTCCTTTATTCAATGCGTAAAGAAAAACCGGTCCACCATTATCAGATATTTGGAAAATAATCTCGGGCAGCTCACTACAATAATATATGGACTACGTACTGCTTAATATAACCATTATACTTTGGAATGATATCCTGCTTACTTCTAACACATTAGGAAAATCAACTTTACAAATAAACCAAGAGACGTCAATAAATAAATTCTGATTTCATTAATTACAAAACTAATCGATTTAACGTACGCTACAAATTCCAACTGAGATCTAAGCTTATAATAAAAACTTTGGATAAAAAAATTATAGTAACAATTATTATTGACAATTTGTTTTGTACATTTTTACAAAGAAAATACATTTCAAATCCGGCTGAATACTGAGTGAGAATGTAAAGAGTTAAATGCAAAAGTGTTACAATTTATGTTGTGACATGTAAACGCACCTTAACTAACGAAAAATATACACAATTACTCGCAATAATACATTTTACATTAAACATAATACTTTCTAATCAATTTCAAAAGATATCGGGTAATTATTGTTCTATGGAAGAATTTATTCTTATACATACGCACCAGTAATGGTTGAGTATAAAATCTGCAACACCGTTACACCAAAAATATAAAATTTGTATGAAAAATAACTACAAAACTTACTCATTAGGTGCATGTTTGAGGAATGTGCTCACTGTACTGCGTTACATAGCCGTTCTTATTATAAAAAGTATTCAAATTTTATTGGCAATAATATCACAAATCAATATTATCATGATTTTCACAAACAGTTCTGTGTGACAACGTTATTATGGGAGATGGGAGATGTAGAACGAAGATATGTCGAATAATAATTTTATGAATAGCAACACCACGTATTTATTTGAAGCACAACAATGCTGGGCCCTCTTTCTGTATCAATTAAAACGTTTCCATTGATTCCAATCGATTAAACTTGACAGATATTTGTAAAGTTTGGCGCCATCCATTTTAATATACCTACGGCCGCCATTTTGAATCAATGAGTTTCAACTTTTTTTTAACAGAGGCTCTCGACTATTAATTATGGAGTCAAAGTACTATGTCTTATTGTATAATCATATTCTTTTTTATGTTTTTACATGAATATTCGATGAGAATAGGTACATGAAAATGTGGAAACGTTTATAAATAATAAGAATTCGGTGCCCTGATGATATGTAAATAGATATCACTAGATGACCAACATATAGTTCTATGTATAGTTGTTATATTCACGCAAATAACGCGCGTAAATAAAAAAGCTTTCAAAAAAGCAAAAAATAATCTCATCCGCATCTACAAAGATACAAAAATATTTTAGCAGTGGAAAGTGCGAAAGGGCTTTATAATTTAGGCCATAATTTTTAGGCAAATAGGGTTACATTCCTTTACAATTAAATTGTTTAGTTTAAATTGACTTTACGTACAACGTAAGGTATTAAATTTAGATTACCAGTAAAAGTTACCTACTGAAGATTTTCATTTTTAACGTCTGCCTTTCCACTGCCTTTTGGTCGCGCTATTTACGTAAATACAATAGTAATAATAAACGGTTAATGTATATGAACTCCGATATAAACGAACGCGAATGGATGGAAACAACGACAATTATTTGGCTCACTTAATTCGCTACTGGTAATATTGAGCATTATTTGTCTTTTCCAAATAAACGTCGCACTATAGTATTCAAGCGGCAAACGAAATATCTATGAGCATATCCGGGTAAGTACACTAATCGTTCTAATATTAGGTCATAGCCTATGTAAAGCTGTCAACGTCACACGACGTAAAAATAAAAAAATTGCCACTACAAGCGAAAAACGTCAAAAGGTCATTCACCCTTGGTCGGTGTGACCAATATTTTGATCGAGTGGTATCATTTTTTTGCTGACGGAATAGATAGGGGGGGAGTCAAGTTTGCCGGAGATGGCCTGAACACGACTTTTGACGGACTCCATGGGGGCGGAGTCCACCTTGACGTCATCGGAGCTCGATGAGGAGTATTGGAAGGAGGAGGCTTCGGTGTTGCCGTAGATGTGCTGTGGTTCCCTAACGTTGCCGTAGAGGTTGTAGTTGTGTATGAGAGTGGACACCCTGTTGGGTGCGGCGGGGAGGCTGCTATGTTCTTTCGGTGGTTGTTCCGTAACAGTGAGCTGGCTGGTGGTCACTGGCTGGTTGATCTTGAAGTCCGGCTTCGGAGGCGGCGTCTCTTCCTCTTGCACCGACGACTGGTTGCTTAGCACCGGGTTCTGTGGTATATACACCTGGTTCTGAGGCGCGAACACTTGGTTCTGCGAGGTTAGGGTCTGGTTCTGTGGGGTTGCCACCTGTGGAAAAAGATTTCGACTGATGTTCTAAACTTGCTAGTAAAAAAAAAAAATTAAAAAGGTAAAAAATGATACTGACTACATACTACCGACTACTGAGATGCTGCATGCAAAAATAAAAAGAAATATGTTAATAAAATGTGAATAGTTTCAAAATTTTGGTGATTCTAACGACATCACTAATGCGAGTATGTAATATCTTAAAACATTCCCATATCAACTAAAATAATCATTACCATAATTTCTATTCATTCCAATCCAATAATCCAATTTCATTCCAAAATAATAGGATCAACAAATCTACAGCCACTTATTATTATTCCACCCTGATCGAAAGAGTTTTACACTATATCATACACTATATAATATTGTGTATTATTATTATGTTTAATTTTAGCAAAACCTGAGGTTATTGCAAGCATATTTCTGATGTGGTAATCAATTAATTATTACCAAATAACAAGTAGAACGACACTCTTGTTATAGTCAAACTTTGTGGAAATATTTCATTACCAGAAGATTCATTCATTGAAATAGTGGGCCTGTAGCATAGTTGATAACAAGATAGAACAAAGAAATAACTCCTTATTTCATAGATCAATTATCGAAAACAGTGTAAAACCTTTTCCAATCTCTTTAACCACAGATAAAAAAAATAAACAAAAAATATAAACTCCTTGACACACTTACCTCTTTGCTCAGCATGCGACACTAACCTGCGCGTTAGGGCTGGTAGGTTCCTGCGGCGGCTGTAAGGCGGCGCGCCAGTCTATGTTGGGGTGTCGGTCGCGGATACAGTCCACTACGTCCAACAAGTTCTTAGCGTCCATAGCTAAGATGTGGGCGGCTGCTAGCATGTTTCTAAAAAATGAAATAAGTTTGTTAATCACGGATGTTTGTCCGTCAATCACGCTGAAACTCGGTATACAGAGGGGGTATGGGCTAACTTAGGTGATAGGATACTGGACTTGGTATATCATCAACAGCCTATAAATGCCCACTGCTGAGCAAAGCCTCTTCTCACACGGAGAAGGTTAGAGCGTTAATCACCACGCTTGCTCAATACGGGTTTGCGATTTCAAACTTAAAATTAGAAATTATAAGTCCAGGTTTCCTCACGATGTTTTTCCTTCACCGTTTGTCAGTGGTGTCTAAGTAATCTTAGAAAGTACATATAACTCGGAAAAAGTCACATTGGTACTTGCCGTTGGTAGGTTTCGAACCCGCATCCTCATGCATGAGAAGTGGGCGTCTTAAACCTCCGGGCCACCACGACTTGGTGTATAATCGGGATAAATGCTCCCATGGGATAAAACAAGAAAAAGCGGACAAAGCCGCGGGTGAAAGCTAGTTGAAAAATAAAATTTTAAGGTTCAGGTTTTTGGTTTTGCAGGCATTTTGAATGGTAATTTTGGATAATTATAATATACGATTGCTTTGCAATATCATCGTAAGACTGATTGTCGAGTATGAGTTTGGTTCAGATTCCAACTCTGGGTTGGATAAAGTTTGGGGGATTTTTTACTTTTGCACACACATCACGTAATAGCACAGAGTATAAAATGCTGTGGCAATAGGCACAACATCTTTTACATGTAACTTTTAACATAACTTACATAAGCAATTAAGACAATCTCTCTAGCCTTGTGTTCGGGGATTAAAAATGGTCACGTTATACTTTTTACTTAGATAGTTCTTTGTAGTATGTATACTAACTTAGTGTACTCATGCTGCAGCGTAGTGTTGTGGTACTGTATGGCGAGGCGCATGGCTTCCACCAGCGCCGCCATGTCCTTGCTCAGCACTTGGTGCGCCATCTCCACCTCCCTAGTTACACAAAAATAGATCTTATTAGCTTAAGATTGTAATGATTTTGGTCAATTTCAATTAATCTTCTTGAAAAGTTTTAAGTATTTACTGTTGTTAGGAAAATGGTAATTATTATTACTTTGACGATAAGATTTTTTTTAAGTCGGCTGCTATTATTATTGCTAATTGTCATGGATTTATAACAGTTGATAATCACATAATTACTGAAGCAATTATAGGAATAGGAACCAACAGTTCATTTCAAGAAGACAGAATAATTTAGAACTTTAAGTCTATATAGTTAAAGTTAAATTTCCTATTAACGTAATTCACGTGGGCCTGAGACACAAAAGCAGATTATAACATTAGTTACGTTTTACGTACCTCTGCGCATGCTGTGGGAATGGCACGACGACTTTATCAACAGTAGCACAGAGGTCCCGGAGCTCGGCGCCGACGGCGCGCACGGCGGCCAGCACGCCGGCGGCGCCCGCCCCGCCCGCCGCCGCGCCCGCCAGCCGCATCACGCAGCGGACTACACTCGTCGTCGCGCAGTACACTGGCTCGGAGGTGTTGCGGCCAGACTGGAGAGAAACGAGGTTTTTGGTTTAAATTTGTGTTAAGTGGCGCTAGTATCGCATAAAAACGATTATACATATAGGTACATAGAGGTACTACTAATAATGTTAAATGAATTTTTATTAAATGAACAATTACACAGGATATAGTCTTTCTTATATTTATTAAAGCTGATTAAAAAAGAAATGAAGAAATTTATAGGAGACTAAACTACTGATGTTAATTTAAGATGTAATTTTTTTTCTTTATTCATAGTTGTCCTACCTTATCTTCGCTCGGTGGTCGTTCTTTGGATACAGTGTTTGCAGGACTCGTCTCGGCAGACGTCGTCGCTGTATGTACAAAAAATAAGTTTTAGGTGGTAGAATTGTCTTTACTTGTAATAGCTACAAAAAAAAAACAAAAACGGCCTCGTTGGCCGAGTGGTCGCAAGTGCAACTAGTGGGCAAGGCGTCTTAGGTCGATTCCCGGGTTGGGGCAAAGTATTACGGTTGTTTTTTAATTCTCAGTAGTAGCCCGGAGTGTGGAGTTGTGCCCGGTATATGGCAATGGCTGTCTACCATTCGGGGATAAAAGGCGTGATGTTATGTTATGTTAAAAAAAACAAAACAATGGAATAACCAAGAAAAAATGTAAGGAAAATATAATTCGATCCATTTTATTGGATATTTATAGTCGCGGTAATCTATCTTAATATTAGTTACCTGAATGTGTTTGACTAGGTGGTCTCGGTTCATTTGTATTGGTACCGTCCGGCTTCTGTTCACTGCCCGGTTCGGACTCAGTTGATAGTTGCACGTTGGACAAGCGCTTTTTCTATAAAAAGTAATTACAATATCCTTTACATACTAGAATACCCATACATGAAGATATCCCTGTAAAATTTTTAATGATGAATGCCGACTTTATTACAAAGCTATGAAGTTTAAAATTGGCTACTTTCCTAGGTTTTTAAAATAAATTGTTTCAACTTTTCAATGCAATAAATAATAAAAAATTATCATACTCTCTACCATTGATTTGACAATTTACCTACTTTTGCATTTTTTCTCGTTAATTTCAAGGAAATGTTATTTGGCGCAGAAATATGATGACGTCATAAGTTGCGATCCAATACAAAATTCATAGAAAAGTATCATTTTTGACATTGCAAAAACTTTAAAAGTATTGAATTTGACTACCTGTCAAATTCAATACTTTTAATTAATTTTGATCCTAATAACCATACTAATAAAGTATAAAATTGATTGTTTTATATTACTTTACTTACCAAGTTCTCTTCCTGCATCTGCAACCATCTTCTGTCTTCTTCGCTTTGATGTTGTTGTCTTGCTAGTTCGGCTAGCAATCGCCTTTCCACTGCTTGTTCACTGTCGCATTCTGGACTCTGTTGCATATAAAATAAGAGCTATATTTGACGATTCTTGGCCTTAGTACCTTTGCATACTAAAATATATTCACTACAGTCAAAGTCAAGTCTCTTTCTTATACCAATAGTAGGTATTAATTTTATTTGCCCATAAGAAAAACTCTTTAATATACTGCGTTAAGATTCATTTTTGCATGTTTTGTACAGATTTGAGTTTGACTGTTTCTTATACTTAAACGTGCAATTTTTGTGATTTTTCACAGAACTAACATTGCTGTTAGTGACATGAATCATGACCAATTTGTACAATTTTAGTAAAAAATGTAAAGTTATTCACCAGTATTTGAGCCAAATATTTCCAAAACTATATTCCAACCACAATGTTAGTTCAGTGTATATTCAGAAAAAGAAAATCACTCGTGAAAAAGCAATCGAAAAAATAATTTTCACAAATGAATTCTCAAAAAAAAATGTTATAAAATACATAAAATATGAAATTAAAAATAAAATAAAAACCGACACTCTACCGGAGAAACCCAATATGTCACAAAAATATCTGAAAACAAAAAAAAATACCAAAAGAAAAGAATAAAGTATAAAAAATAAAACAAAAAAATAATATTTACAAACACATACACCTCCCTCGGGAATGGGATTGGATATTTACAAATATGGAATCAATCATTTGACATTCCAACGACAGCTGTCAAATGTCATTTTTAAACTCCTTTCCTTCAAAATACTTTGTCCGAAACCAAACCATATCTCAATAATAATCTTTACAAAAAAGAAAATTATTTGACAAATTAAAAATAAAACTTCTCATTGAGAATATATTGCGATCTATGCTTCACTCTTCACGCATGCGTACTCTAATTATCTACACACACTTTCTAAATATCTACTCTCGCCATTTGTGAATGTTAGAAGTGAATGCAAAAAATATTAAAAGTGAAAATTGTAATGTGGCAGAACTGGCAGACACGTACGTAAACTTTTTTTGAGATCGTTAATATCGTTTTATATTTGTTGATATTTCTAAATAAACTACTACTTTTTGCATTCACCACTAAACATAATCATGCTTTGAAAGTGTAACCAAGTCTATGCGAATACATTCCAATCACCTGCACGGGCTGCGCCACGCCATGCACGTGGGACACTCCTGCCGACACTCCTTGCACCATGCCAGGCACTGGCACACCCATTGCGCCAGATACTGGCACGCCAGACATCGTTCCAGAGACTGGCACGCCAGCCATTGAACTAGTAATAGGCGCCCCAGTCTGAGGCATCGCTGGCTGACATTCCATTCGAGACGCGAAGATGGCAGAAGCATCCGATGTCTGTACCATCGGTCTATACGCCGGTCCTGCCACCTGTGGCGCCATCTGTGCGCGGTACATGCCAGGCTGGGCCCCCCCGTACCCGTGCGGGGGCCCGTACATGGGGGGCACCACTCCCATTGGCTGGGCGAACCCTTGCTGCACCTGCTGGAATGGCTGTGGACTAGCAGACCGGAGGAAACCTTGCGGGACTTTTGATGGCCGAGACTGTCCTGAGTACGGCACCCCTTGAACAACTCCTACAGGTACTCCATATGACGCAGAAGGATGTGAAGCCGCCATACTACTCTCGCGTCTAAACTGAGGCCGCGCCATCGCTCTCTGTGCTGCCACTGCCACGCAACTCTTGACGTTATCTCCACCAAAGTCATATATCTCTTCTACTAATGGCGGTTCTGGTTGTGTTCGCATTTTGTTCATGACACTGGCGGCTAGTTGTGCATTGAGTGCGCCTTGTACTGCGAACTGTCCAACGTCCTGGTCTCTACGAGTCCGTGGCGGCGGGGACGCGGGGACTGAGTGCTGCCGGGTGAACGGGGCGATGGGGACCGGGGACCCGCGGTGGGACAGACTACCACGAGCGTTACGTTCTAGTGACCCCATACGGATGGGAGCACGCTCTGCACTAGATAATGTACCGCGAGTGTTACGTTCTAGAGACCTTACTCGATTAGCGTACGGTTCAGGAACGTCTGCCTCACCAGCAGAAGGTGACGCAGTGTCCCCGCGCGGGGAGACGCTGGGAATGTTCTGACAGAGATTGTCGCAGCTCTCTCTAGCTCCTACTACCACAGTGAGAGTCTCGTCGGGGGTGTCGGAGGGGGTGGAGGTGGGTACAATAGGGTCTAGTTTCTGTAGGCTGGCGGCGGGGATGGGGGCGGTCTGAAGGGGGATGTCTATTTTCTCGTCGGGTCGAGGGTGTATGATCTTGTCGACGATGTCGTGGGTCTCCGGCAGGGTGTCGGCGAAGTCTACTGCGACAGTATTGAATACCGAGGCGGGCGTGGTGTACGCGTGCGGTAGATGCGCGCGCGCCGTGTTCTCCCGGAGTAGATGTGCCAGGACGAGCGGGTTCTGGGCCACTATGTACGTCTGCGCTGCGCCCGCGCCGCCTGGGACGTTGTCGGTCACTGTAAGAGGAAGAGAAACGTTATACTAATACTATATCTAATATTAATTAATAGAAATTGAATTCACTACCCCAGTCTGTAAAATTATGATTTTTACCCTTCAAGAGAATTAAAAATCTTTTGCCAAAATTGTCAGTATGTTCAGTCAATTTTCTAGTTCGGGTAAGCTTGATTTTCTTTGTAGTTAAAATAAAAAAAGTGAATGTTTTATTACCTGGAATATTATTAGAAGGTCGTTGTGGTTTGGGCGGGGGTTCCTCGCTGACGGATCCAGCCGCGACTCGTCTGTTCTCTCTCCGCATCGTCTCCCACGCTGAACTGCGCTCCTCTTGTAGGATCTCACTGTGATACAAGAGCCAATGTTAATATGTTTACATTACCTGATCTATAATGAAGTAAGCTGTCGCTTATTTAGACTTCTTTGTTTTGATTATGTAACAAATATTTACTGTTTACTATATCAGGATAATGTGTAGCAAACTTCATTCACATCAATGTTGCGAATAAAATTACTTTGCAGACATCTTAAAACTTATAAAGTTTCTTTATTCTTTATTACCTTAGGTAATATATATAAATAATATGTATAATATTATGAATAAATATAATATACAACTTCAACTTAACCAAAACTAAAACAGCGAATTAAAAAGTAAATAAATTCCGTCATTGTAGGCATCCTTAGATACCTAAGTTCGTAATTAAATTACCTTTTCTATACACAGCATATAAACTTTTATTACTGTAAATAAAGTTATAGCTTAAAACTCTTTAAATATAATAAAATCCATCAAAAACCACTTACAACAAGGTCTCTTTGAGTTGATGTGCAGCGGGTCTCTGACTAGGTTCATACGCCCAGCACCGCGACATGACGGAGTACAGTCGGGGAGGGCAGCGAGGAGGGAGGGCGAGCCGCTCGCCGTTCTCTAGTTTACCTATCACGTCGTTATTCTTCACGCCGCTGAAGGGTTTCACTCCCAACATTAATATTTCCCACATGCATACGCCTGGGGGAAAAGAGAGAATAAAAACTCATTTAATAAAAAAAGAAGTTCTTTATTGAGATGTTTAAAAAATAGTGGTACTGAGTGCCAAGCACGAATAACTATCGCATTCGTAACGTAATAGTATCGAGCACGTTCGGCTCTCAGATTAGTTCGCTCACTGGAGCCTGTAAGCCTTCAAAAACTGTACGATGTTTTCCATCACGTACAAATTTGAGTAATAGAGTATGAGTTCCGGGTACAATTTGAAACTAGTCGCGATTGGTTTTTCACAAAGAAAACTGTTTATATAAAGCTTTTTATAACGTAATCGCAAAAATATAATATTAACTAACATATAATTAAAATTGCTTTTAAACTATTCGTTCTATGCATTCATTGCAATAACTTTGAGTCATTTCTGGACATAAATGTACATATATAATGCTACACGCTCTGTAAATTATAAAAAAATAACAACTTTGCACATACCAAACATCCATACGTCGGAAGCGGACGTGAACCGCCTGAAGTTGATAGACTCAGGCGCCATCCACTTGATGGGCAACTTGCCGCGCGACGCTTTGTAGTACGACTTGTCCTCCACCATCTTTGATAGACCGAAGTCTGCTAACTGTTCGAACAAGAAATTACATTGTTTATATTAAATGAATGGTACGCTAACAATAAGACTAAGTGGGCAAAACATAATATATCATTTATCTGCCTACATAGAGTTGGAGAGGACGAAATGTAAAGTCAGAATTCACTAACAAACAATAATAATAATTAGATTTTTAACAATATGCAACGCACTTGGCATCTATTAAAATGACACTTAAACACATAACTCGCGATAATTGTTGTAAGTATATTGTTGTAATTTGAACACATCACTTAACATAATATCACGCCTTTTATCTCCGAAGGGGTAGGCAGAGGTGTATATTATGGCACTTAATGCCACTGCACTATGTAACACCCACTTTTCACTATTTTATGTTAAAAGTCCCATGTAATAGGAGGTGAGCTTATATATAAGGTGCTCTATAATTATCTGCCACGGCTTTAATGGGAGGTAGTGTTATGTTTACAGATTACAATTGTGAAGAAATTTCGAACCCCGGACCAGTTAATTACATAAAGTAATTAAGTAAACATTGACTACATTCTGCATAATGTCGTTCACAAATTACGCGCGATGCGTCGCTTAGTCAATGAAAACAATTGCTATCTCTTTCCACGTGTACTGAGAATGAAAACGGAAATCAGCTGACTAGTTCGTCACTATCTAATCTACTAGATACTCAATAGGCAGGCTAACAAGGGTTTTAAAAGTGCAATTACTTACCAGGTACGGCATTCTTCCGAAAAGCTGATGTAGGTAAATA